TCACTTTATGACTACATCATTTAGCGATGGAAATTTCAATCCCAATTGCTGTCCCAAAGGACTGCTTGTATTCCTTTGTGGCTTAGCAGCATAATACTATACAGTATACAAATGACATCATATTGTCAAGATTAGCTTATCCCATAGGTAATTCATCCTACTCTGTCATGCAATATGATTGCTCACATAATAATGGAACAATATATATTTAGATGTACCCTAAAATAAAATTTGTTAGAATAGGCAGTTCCCTAATATTCAATGCTAAAACAAAATAGTTTATGTGATCTAATTTTAATTTCTATAACTTACAAATTAAAAGACCAGTTATTTTGAAAACATAAATTAATTTCTGATGGAATATCAAATGTTTCTTACACTGGAACTACAGTTTTTATCTTCACATACGTTTTCCATCTCACCTTGTCCTTTGCCCAATGGATAATTTCTTAAAATTCCCAGTATTTTATTATATAACCATTTTTAAATGTTACATCTGAAGCAACCTGCTATAAACGAGTAAGAAACAAGTCTCATTTTAAATGAGACTTGCTTATTTTATATAGTATGTTATGTTTGTCCCCTCCCAAAGTGGGTTATAGTAAAGGCAGAAGACAGATTAAATGAGTTGTATTTAAAATTAAACCAAAAATGCCCCCTTCACTCTTTCTTCCATTTTTTTCATTCAGTTATCCTGATAAAATACTGATTTAGAAAATATCTGTTTTATACAGAATTGGTGGGGTACATAGTAATTGTTTTCTAATCTTTGCAGTTTCCAAGATACAGCAACTTCAGAGTTGATCATTTAGGATCCATTGTATCTTCCTTGTTTGCATAATTTAAATTTTCTGGAACTGTCATATTCATACACGTAGGGATTAACTTCTTTGTAAGATTTCAAGGTGTGTGGTTCTAAATATTTCAATTTAGAAAAAACATTATAAAATAGTCTTCATTTTAAAGAATTGCGCTATCATCTGCCAATAAATCAATGTCACAGAACAAACTCCGATCAATTCGATTAGACTGTTCCATACGTTCAAAGAGAGATTTGTATGCTTCTGGGTATAAACCACCAGCTGTAACATCTTCTGGAATCTCCAACTCTGTCAGCAAATTCTTTGCATTCTCATAAGTCCATAAACTGGAAAAAAATTGAAAAATTAGATATAATTTAATAATTAAAGATCAAGTGGGCTCAATATGTTCTTAAAACCTTGCCTCCAAATATGATGCCCAAAAGTACCAGTATGCTTGCAAATATCTGCCTTAGCAACTGCCTAACCCAGGGGTCCCCAACCCCCAGTCCATAGACCAGTACCGAGCCACAGCATGCCAGCAACCGGTCTGCACAAACAAGGAAAGCCCCATTCACAGGATGCAGACAGCACACAAAACCATGCACCCTCTGGTCTGCGGAAAAACCTCTCTCCACGGAACTGGTCCCTGGTGTCCAAAAGGTTGGGGACCTCTAGCCTAACTGGCTCGCCTGATTTTATTTAGAATATTTTAATTCTTAAAAAAAATTAAATGGGAATCCAACTTGATCTTAAATAAAACATCAGTATTATACTTATTGGCAAGAATTTTTTTGAATTCCACCATAGATCTAGACACAATTTTTGACAAGAAAAACTTCAGCCAATGCTTGTTCCCTATCCCCCCACCCTGGAGCCTATGAGCACATTTCCAAAAATATGTTAAAATAATAAAAAGCATCTTGGGAATTAGGGTGATAATGGGGAACAATTTAACTAATTTCCTTTTAGCAAAGAGATGTTCTATCACTGGCCCTGTTAATCATAAGCATACTGTTAGGCATACAGGTAATCCCTGAGTTATGATTATAATGGGACCTGGAATTCCACAAGCAGC